AATTGTATGCGCTAAGAACATATAAAAGCTACAGAGAAAATACGGCAGACTACTAGTTAAAGAAAAAAAAAGAGAGACTACAAACTACAAAGCGTAACAATCTGAGCTACGCTGATTCCTAAAGAACCTCAACTATGTTTCAACTGTGAAAAACGCGATGGGTTAGGCAGATGAGGCAAGTACAATTTCAAAAGGAAAATAAATCCAATCTTTGATGGTTAAAAAAAAAGATATGAAAAATAGTCTTTATAACATTTATGTCCTGTGAGTGCAAAGGTATAATAGTTTTTTTGTATTTGTCATGGATTGTTGATTTATTAATCTTAATAAAACTGTATTAGTCTGTGTGTAAAAGAAACTCAGTATTAATTTTTCCTCGCATTTGGAGGGGTTGAATATCAGCTAGGGTGTAAAAACTACTCACAGAATCTAGACTTTTATGTTTGTTGTAGATAAATGTAAGTGTATTCTTTTGTATTATTTTGAGTTTGTTGTGTGGGGATCCTAACTTATTTATTTATTTATTTATTTTCAAATACTTCTAGCCCCAGTAATGTTATAGCAGGGGAGAAAAAAAAAGAAAAACAACAGCATTACAGTAAAAGGTATTGGGCAAATGGAAACAGAACAATGACTACATGCAAGTATGTGCATACCCAAAAACGACACACACACACACAAACACAAAAAACTTAATAAGATCACAGAAAAAATCGAGGAAGGAGAAATAATTTTTGAAAAATAGATAATTGTTCGTAGTGTTTAAAATTTCAAGGGTAAAGAGTTTCAATCGCTTATTGTGTGTGATAGAAAATTAGTTCTTATATAAGTCGTAATAAAAGAAGTCTTATTTGAGTTTGAACGGATGACCAAACCTAGGGGATACATATGTGGGAGGAAAAAGTTATAAGAAGGCACTTATACCAGCTTGACCGAAATATATATTATAAAAAAAGTTTATGGCGCAACGTGTTTTACTAGTTTCCATGTTTTCCCAACCTAAGCTACTCTTCATTGGCGTCATACTTGCACCACGAATTTCATTTTTGAGACAGGAACCAACGGCTCTATTTTGTACTTTTTCTATATTGCTACTTAGATATTTTGGTAATGGGTCATAACAAAACACACGCATACTCCAGGACTGGCAGAACTTAAGTCAAATAAGCAGCGTCTTTTAGGTTGAGAGGTGCTTGCTTTAAATTTCTTTGTAGGACATTCAACGTCATGCTCTCCTTACGATTTGGTTGACGTGTGCCTTCCAAGAACAAGTACTGGAAAACGATACGCCCAAATATTTAACTTTACTTTTCTGAGGGACTAGCTCGTTGTTAAGCAGAAATGGACTTCAAAAAGGGGACCTAATGCGAGACCTGTATGCTATTCATTTCGTTCCAGATGTAACATGTTTAAGATTACGTTTAAGAAACCATAATTAAAACATCGGCCTCCGACATGAGTCCATGCGGTCATTCCACCTGAGATCGGAACTTATAGTGACGCCAATGTGTTTAAAAGATGATACCGTCGCAAAGTTTTGCTCGCGCGAGTGGCTAGTCTAGTTTTACTTCATGTTTTTACCTTCTCCGAGGTTTCGTTCGTCTCCACGGCACGGCTCATGGATTCTACCTCACTCGAGGGGGGGGGGGGGGGGGGGGGGGGGGTGTCTCAAATGGCGGTGAACGTGAACGCTTTAACGGTACACTGAGTTTATAAAACCTCGCGTCGGGGATGTTTTTTCGTGTGTATGTCTGGTTTTGGGATCTCCACTTCGGAGGTGGTTTTTCTCCGTGTATAACTTTTTTGTCTACGAATGTTTTATAGATGCTCTTGTAAGCTTCGTTCGGAATGTGTTCTCTTTTGTGTAAGCGCTTGCTTTTTGGAATGTTCGACTTTGGCTCCTGGAAACCAAGCCTTGAACATCACCCTGCCTCTGGAGGCCAACCTGCATCTCCGACCCCCTTGGGCTCTGGAGGGTTCCACCCCTAACTGGCAAACTTGTGATCCCTGAAGGCTGTGGAAAAGTTCGGCTCGCGCGCCTTTGTCTGGATCCTTGTTTATTGTGTTTGGCTGTGGTCGGGGCACTTGCTGAAGGTGTGGTCGAGGAGGACGGCAGGGGAAGAGGTTAGGAGTATTTCTCCCCCACTATTTATTGACGAACTGTTCATATTTGTTACAAAAGAATTTATCTCATATTCCTTAAATAAACAGTTATTTGTTAATATCAGTATCTTCATCAATAGAGTAAATCAAATATTTTACCCGCGACAATACTTTCTGGAGAGGAATAGTTATTCAAGTCTTATGGAAAAGACAATGGGGACTTCTTACGAGCGATGGTACCAGTGACGAATTTTTTGCTATTAAACTGCATTTGACATTTTTGGCACCAGTCACTTTTTGGGTCTGGTTCGAGTCAAGGTGTGCTCGGTCTTCATCATTATTTATATAAAAAAAATATAGCTCGTTCATTAGTAAATGGGCGATAAATGATTTATTACGATGTTTTAGTAGGTAATCTATATTCGAAAAAAGGAAGTCTTAAAACGGAACCCTGTGGTACGCCCGATCGCACCGATAGATGTGGATACCTCTACCCATTTACCAGAAAAAACTGTTGCGTATTGCAATAGCATAGTCACTTAGCCACCGAAAAACGTTATACTTGAGTGATAGGCCGGATAATTTTTAAAAGAGGTTTGTCGTGTCACACAGTTGGAGGCCTTCGACAAATTTGAAAATATAACGTCATTTTACCCTTTTTATTAATTAACTCTCTAAAGTAATGTACCGCTTTCGCAGGTTGCGTAGACGTATAAAGGTCCCCCTGAAATCATGCTGTTCAGCAAAAAGATCATTATTTGCCTCTAAAAACAAGAAAACATAACTATCAACTAATAGAAAAATTCGTAGCGATGTTTCAGGATAGACTAACACTATCAGAGCAGTGAAGGGAAAATATTGCTAAAGCCCATATCACATTAACATGTCAACTGCCGTATAGGCTACAGCCGCGAGCGCACTGCTTTAATAGGTGCTACTGGTAGTGCTGTGCACGAGCGTTCATGCAGCAGAGACCGCCAAATTTAAAGGCGAAGCACGGGTATGCACGCGCATGGGAACGTGACTGCTAATAGCTCCGTTTTGAAAGTCCCATAACATGTCAGCACGTCGGAAGCTACGGCCCTGGCAGGTCAATCGGAACGTGACAATACGTATCACTGGAGTGCACATTTAATGCGAAAAAGTATCGATCTTTTCGTTGCGTCATGCTCCAATATATATGTGTGCGTTACGCTCGTATACATAGACAATGGCGAAGCCGTCGGCATGGAATGTGTGGCTTATCGTTAGGGTTCGGAGTTTTCGGTTTAAACCGATAAAAACCGATAAAAGTACGCCGAATTCATTTTCGAAAATCCGGTTTTAACCGAAAAGGGTCAGTTTTTAGGTTCGACATGTTCAATTTAAACTGATAAAAACCGATAAAATACGTCGAATCCATTTTATAAAATTTAGTTTTGACCGGAAAAGGTCAGTTTGGCCTTCCAGTCGTACCGCAGTGCCTTGGCGAAAAAATGGAACGACAGTGTCTATCGAAACGTGTCCGAATGTTTGGGAGACACGGGGACCATCACGATGTTTTGGTTTGATGTGCGCATCATCGATCGGAACGGGAAGTCCGAAATGCCTCATGACTTCGCCATGTACGAGCGTGTTTTCAAACTAATTGTAAGGAAGACTGACTGGATACAAGCTCTGCATGTTGTGTTGTGCTTCAAAACGTCACACCGTCTCTCTTTTGGCGGTCACCACTGGTTGATTGGCCGATTTTGGCTCAGGCAGCGCTTCATCTCCTCAGCCTTCCAGTGTCCAGTGTTAGTGTTGAGAGGGCCTTCTCGAAGCTCAGTGTAATATTAACAGGAAAGAAAGAGTACCGATCAACGTGGAGAGCCTATAAGAAAGTACATGTGTGTGTGAACTATAATAAGATCACGGGTAATCCTGATATACAGAAGGTGAAGTTCCATCGTTTTGGGCATAGGCTCCATATCTGACTTGTTTGTACTTCTATTTTTTTTTTCTTTTTTCTTTTACATTGCACAGATTTGCCAAATAAAGTGTATATTTCTTTTTTAATGTGTCTGTGCCGCTATTCTTTGAGTGATCACAGATATCAGAGCTACAAGGATAATCTGATCCGGTGTCCGTTGGTGTTTATTTTATATTCACCGAAAAAAGACGATAAACTTTTGTGGGCATAAATATTTGCCGAAAAAAAACGAAAATTTAATTTTAAAATAAACACCGAAAAAAGTACGCCGAATTTTGAAAACATCGAAACCGAAAACGCGGAACCCTACTTATCGTTCACCCCCTGCCAAGTTACAACGAGACAGGGTATAACCGCGGGCTCGCAGGCTCTCACTCTGCTGGCGCCGCCTGGCTGTAGCCGGCTGGCTGTGCCCAGCAGACGAAGCCGGAGACACGTCAGTTATCAGTGTAGTTTTTACCGAGCGACTCCAGGGCAGTAAGTAGAAGAACGGCGGTAAATCAAAATGAAAGATGTCACGACTACGCTTAGTTCCAGCTCACGTTAAGAGGCAGGTCACGCTACGAGCTGATAGGATCAATCAGACAGCATCAAAAGGGCACCATCGTGGTGTTCGTCACGTTTCTGTACGTGTTCTGTCATCGTTGAACCAATCATAAACCGAGAAGGCATAGTGACTTGCTCTTTCGACGCGGCTTGAATATTAGTTCGAGGAGTCGGTTGCATCTTAACTTAAGCTGAAACGAAGTATAGTGCCGCGAAGAATGACGACCTTGAAAGCACCAAAATGCGCTACGTTCTAGCGATAAAACGCATACTATATATATTTTGTTCCAGTGCATCGTAGGTAATTTTACTCCTCGCATACTACGTTAACGCGCTTAGTTCCAGCTCGGAACGTGCGATTCAAGGTGGTAATGTCTGTTTTCGTGTAGCTGAAACTTACCCCTCGATACGAAACCACGTGCCCGCTGACACCGATCAACAGCCCGCAACGATTGTGCGCACCGGCGAAAACTGCGAGCTCTTTCTCCCTACAGTGCACGTGGGCACCCCGGGGAAGCAAGGCAGCCACGTGAACCGCCACCACGTGCTCAAGCGGACCGCACCTGAGGCCCCCGTCGCCTGGTCCGCTTCCTCGCGCAGTCGCAGTCCGCCGCCGAAGTCGCCGCCAACGACGAAGTCGACGCGCTCATCACGGCACGCACGGAGGAAGGGACGAAGGAACAGACGGCACCAGGACGCGCGGGAGCGAAACAGCACCACACTCGAAGGACGGCAGCACCACCGAGGGCACAGCACCAACAACACTCCGACGGGCGGCGCGCGCAAATCCAAACAGCGGCACAGTGCGGCGACGGTTGCGGCGGAGGACGGGGCCGGCGTCGTCGGCGCGACTGGCGCTCAATGAAAGGCCGGCCGGAAGAGGAGCGGAGGGGGGCACGGTGGGGGGAGGCACGGACCCCCCCTCCTCGTTCCGGGCGGCGCGAGCAGGGAACGCCTCTGCGACGTCCCAGGCCACGCCGAGGCGCGGAGGGCGAGGGAGGCCATGGGACGGCGCCGACGCGGCGCTCGTGGCGCTGGTGGAGCGCTCGCACAACGTCGGAGCTCCAACCCCGAGACGAAGACGGCCGCCCTTGTCGACGGGCACGTTGCTCGAAATCGGGTTTGTGAGCCTTCGCAGTTCTGGAGAGACTTCCTCGCGCAAGTTCAGTGACCAGCCGGTGAGAAAAAAGAGGATGGGTCACGAGGACACGGGTTTGAGGCCCCCGCATCGACTTGAGATGCTTTCGAACCCCGGCATTTAATGGGGTGGCGCAACAATATTCAATTGGAATGTTTATCACCTTACACGAGTTTAGTGGCACTAGTGGGACCCAGGTATACTGGCATTCTACGCTATCGACCAAGAAACCTCTTCGTTGCGGTGTAATTTCAATGATGAAAGCGAGCGTTTTCCTTCAATTTCTCCTTCGTGAAACTTGATGACGTTGCGTGGAAGTCGCAGTAACCCACAGTGATGGTATTTGAATGCGCTTATAGATTGGACCCGAGCATTGCGGGAGCACTCGATTTGGGCACTAAACACCTCCTCAATGAAATCATGCTATAGGCTATATTCAAAAAGGAGCGCCATCTAGTTTACTCATGATCAATTATCAAATATCCTCCATCTTGGAGGTTTCCCGTACCGACAGTTTCGCCCGAGAAACAATGGTCCCGGCAAAGTGGGAGTCGTAGAACCAAAAAACTATAACCTGCTGCCAGTCCACTACGAACCCTTCGCAGAACGTCTTCCATAAAGATCATTCATTGGCCTGGATTGCCCAGTTTACTTCACAAGTGACGAGTCTTGCGACTTCGTTGCTGACATTTCCTTTTCCAGAATCTTACGGCCGTCTTTCTTCCCTTTTTTGAACCGGAACTAAACAGTAACACGTTGAGTGAACAAATAGATACACCTAACATCGCGAAAACCCAGTTAAATGCAAATGCACCTCGTCCACAACCGGAAGATGTGACAAACCGCCCAATATGGCGGCTCCTACCGGCATGATCATGGTAGCTGGGATTTTGCATATGGCCTATTCTGAAGGAGTTAAAATACGCTTGTCACATTTTCAACTGTCTAACGTTCGTGCACGTGGCTGGAATTGAAAGAAGTTGCCCGCGGATTTAACTTTTTTAACCAAAGCATGCATTCGTCCTTTCCGCATCCCGCGGACTCGAAAATGTACCACAAGTGGCAGTGGTGTCACGTGAGCGTTGCTTGGCTCCAGATAAAACAGCGCCTTCCAGGAAGTACGTCAGTGCCCTCCAGATACTCTTGTTTCAACAATCGTGTTATAGAAAGAAGCGGGAAAGGAAAAGCAAAAAAAAAAAGTCAGCCTTGCTCATCAAGCTGGTTCCAAGAGCTTGCGATTTATAAGAAATAAACAAATGGAATTCTACGCCGGTCGCAATGCATTTACTTCTAATGACCCATTTTGAATCCTCTCTAACTAGTGCGCACCGCAACTGTCCGGAAGCTTCATCGGGCTGTCCAGAAGCCTTCAGATTTTAATCCCAGACTGCTCTAAATGGAAACGTTTAGCGAGTTTAGCTGTGACAGAGTCTGCGTTAGCCGAAGTGGTTCGAAAAAATGGCATTCGAACTTCCCGGGATACGAACTCGTAGAGCGCCGTACACTGATGATTAACCATTCCTGGGCAGAAGCGGTAAACGGTATTACGCTGAATGCCTAAAAAGGGCCCGGACCCCATACCGTTTTTCATTATGAAGGCAAAATTTGAATAGAAAATCACGAAACTGATATAAGGAGTAAAGCGTCGAAAAATACGCCTGATGGCGACGAGGAAGATATCAAATTACCGCGTTCCAGATTACACACTTTACGTATACATTTTATATACTGCGCCCCTGCGCCCTGCGATCTGGATAACCTCGTACTGGCGTGCGGTTGTATGGTCATGACTGTGCGACGCACGTTAAAGATACCAGGTGTCAAGGTTGAAAAGGTCGAAGAAAAAAAGTAAAGAAGAAGAAGAAGAAAGAGATCCGAGGTTGCGGTTGCGCGCGAGAGATTTTTGCTGGACGAGACGTTTGGACTTCGGCTCCTTCCCAAAGCGAGTACAGCGGCGACTGCAGGCCTCGCCCTATCGCCCGGCAACCTTCTTGTCTTGTCTCCGAATCCTACACCGGGCAAATTCATCGGGAACAAGAGTGGCCAACAGTCAAGGTTCCAAGGGAAGTCCACCGGCAATCACCTACTCCAGGTCCACAGCGACGTGAGTCAGGAACTCCCTGCCTGTAAGTGTATTTACGAATTTGAATTTGTTTTTTTGTTTTTTCTTCATCTGAAGCTTCCATTTAACACGCTTGTCTTCTTTTTGTAAGTACATATTTGTTTGTTGGTTTCACCTTTAACCTCACCTCTCCTGATTTCGCCACGATCACGGCCCAACATGTCAATTGGCGAGCCTACCAGGATTCCTTTTAACATTAAAAAAACCAACAAAAAAACACCTGATCATGTCAGCCGGGACGCGCACTGATTAGTGAATTCGTGGAAGACAATGAAAACGGATGGACTTATAGCTGCCGGGAAAGAGCTAGATCTTCAAGGGGCCGAACTGAAGAAATGGATGAATGAAGGGAGAAACAGGGACAGGGAGTTAAGAACGCCAGAGCTCGAAGCGTCAAGGCTCGACCGTGATGCGGTCTATATCAGCCGTATTCACCAGCCGTTACTACCTAGCGCTGTTGTAAAATTAGTATCGCGTCTAAGTTGTCACGAACTAAGAGAAAAAATCTGAAACTATAAGGATCGACTAGTTCTGCAGTATTCACGAGCGCGAAGCGAGCAGTTGTCCATATAGTCAGAACTAAGAAGCGGAAGTGACATAAAAATATAAGTCACGCGTACGCGTACTTAAACGCCGCTGTGTAAATTGATATTTTATTGTATAAAAACAGTATTTAAATGTTTATCAGAAAATAAAAAGTTACAATGAGAGGCTAACTGTCCTAGACAAAATTTTACAAAAAAAAAAAACGCATGGGAGGAACACGGAAGCCGCATTGACAGCGACATAAACAAATATGGAAGCGCCCGTAAATGCGTATTTCCTCGGCATTTAGCACCCTGCTGATATCTGTTTAGCAGCATCTCTGACCGTTGAACATGGCTATGTACACAATATTTGCTCCTCCAATTTTTTTTAGATGTGTCCCCCATAGCATTCCGAGACAGTAAGTGCTTCGATAGCACTGGCGGTCAGCGGTGATTAAAGTCAGTGGATCTGGAAACGTAGTGCCATTGCCTTCCCACCTGCTAGCCGGAAACAAATACCGACATACAGACGACAAAACCTCTCAAGGTGATTGGCTCATCGCTGTCGGTTGCCATGGTGACTGCCATTCGTCAAAACCAGTCGCACAGATCGCTATGGAGTGTCATCATACTGAAAGCGTTCCTTGGCCAACATGACCGTCTTTGGCATTGTGCATGCCATACATTTATCGCTCATACTAATTTCCCCAGATCTCTTACAATTATGTTGCTCTTCTTGCGTGTTTCAAGACAGCAAAATTAATTTTCAATGCCCCCTAGCGCCGATGCCACGTGAGATGTCGTATATCTTCGTACCGCCATCACACGCAACGTCAGTCCTTGAGGACATTGAAAAATAATTGTACTCTCTTGAAATGCGCAAAAAGAGCAACATAATTCTAACAGATCTTGGGAAATAACCATGAGTCATAAGTTTATTGCACGCATAGTGCCAAGGACGCTCATATTGGCTGGCTGACGAATGCTTTCAGTGCAATGATGCTCCATAGCGATCTTGGTGCGACTGGTGTTAACGATCTTTTCGAAACTTCGAAGCTTTGAAAGGGTTCAAAATGGCGATCACCATGACAACCGACAGCGACGAGCCAATCACCTTGAGAGGTTTTGTCGTCTGTATGCTGGCATTTGTTTGTATCCGGCTAGCAGGTTAGAAGGCAATGGAGCTACTTTCCCAGATCGAGTGACTTTAGCGGTGATGCGAGTCGGCCATGGCGCTGAACAGCTAGTCACCAGCATAACACCGGCTAAACTAGCCCTACCCCATGACTAAGATTTGTTAGTCGATATCTTAGTCGCGCGGGGCGACTAGGCCCTAAACACAACCGGTGAATACCAAGCGCTGACTTAGCGGCGACTATCGCTCGCCACGTGATCATTTTAGTCCATGACGTCACTAGTCAGTAGTTAAAGAGGCGCTACTCGCGCCTGGTAAATACGGGTGTATATGACTAGATAAGAAACGAGAGGTACTGCAGCTGAAGTTAGCTGTATTGAAAACATTATGGCAGGTCAGGAAAGAACTCGCGAGAGTAGCGAAGGGGAGACCAGCGGGCAGACGCAGCATGTTAGTCCCTGCAAGTTAGTGCCGCAAATCAAGGAGAAGAGGGACGACATGGACGCTTACTTATTACGTTTTGAGAGTATACGGCGACGGGAGTGCCATGGCCGCAGCAACGATGTGCAACGACCCTGAGTTCGTGCCTGAGTGGAGAGGCGCTGACAGTAGTGGGGCGGCTTTCGCCGACGGGTGCATTGTAATATGTGCGAGTGAAGTTTGCAATGCTGCAAAGGTTCCGCTACGCCAATGAAGTTTAGCTCAAAAGTTTTAGGGAGGCGAAACCCAAGCATATGGAACAAGAAGGCAGTTTGCCGCCCGGTTAGCGGGATATTTTGACAGATGGGTTGAGATGACAGAACTGGAAAAGTCGTTTGAAGCTCTGCGGGACCGGGTAATTGTTGGGCAATTTCTTCCGACGTGCACTAGTAAGTTGGCGGTATTTCTCAAGGAACGAGACTGTCGAAACCTGTAGGAGGTAGCGTCCAAAGCGGGCCTGT